TTGTGTGTAATTCTGCCATACCAAACATACGGAGCCCCTGAAAGTAGCGTCATCGTTATTAAGATACAGTCTCTGCAACTGACCAACCTCCATCCTGATTGATCCAGTGCAGGAAAATATTCATAGTTCCTGCCTCAGTTATCTGGTGGTCCTGTCCATACAGCCAGAGCACCTGCTGACACCCGTAATCATCTGCTTCGTACTGGGCGAACAGGGAGCATCCATAGTTCCTGTGGAAATCCAAAGTAAGATCATTAGGATACACCTGTAAAACAAAGACTTGATTGTTCTGCGTGTTATACATACCCACACTGTAAAATCTTAATTACCAAATCAAACTAAGTCTTATATCAGAGTGCAATGACTGATATCTCAAGAAGCAAGCTTTCACGCAGCATCTACCCACCCTCCCATCTTGCAGTCTCCAGTTCCTCCTTTCCAGGCCCGTGTGTATTTTGGGTCAGCCCACAGGGAGATGGCATCTGCCTCAGAGTTGAAATAAGAGCCAGCTTGACACAAGATCACATACAGCAAGGCACGGCCAGGCCGCTTTACGCCCAGAGAAGGCTGCCATAAACACATTAAGGAAATTAAATTGTTTTTCAGTTTTAGAAAACATTCGCCCCCACAAGAACGTCACCATCCTCCTCACCTCAGTGCTAATAAATGTTGGCCTTATGTACAGACTCGCTGAGTCTGATTGAGGGACCCAGTCCTGGTCAATCTCTACCAATCTCCTGATACACTCCAGCAACTCTGTCTGATCAAAGGCCTGGAGGAGTGAGACAACAAAAGACAGAGGGCGATAGCAAAAACCTATTCATCATAGTTTTTTCCCCAGCTCATTTATTTCCACATTAAGCCCGTTTGTTTTTCTCTACATCCATCTTACAGGCAGACAAGCTCTCTTGGCAGAGTCAGCCATGCGGCTCATGTTGAGCATCGGTCGGAAGAGACGCAGTCGGCTGTCATCTCCGCGGTATACCTTGAAGCCTTCAAACAGCTATTGAGAATACAGAGAACATTGAAAATACTGAATTCTCTTTAACCCTGATGGCTTTTTAACCACACATTCAAACTGTAAACTGAAATAATGCCAACAGCTTTATTCTGTTAGTATATGCATTTATTTTACTGCAGTACAGATTAATTGTTTATTCCATTAAAGCTCAGTGTGCTATTGTCCATTAGTCAGAATTTTACTAATTTTGTCTTTACTCAGTACCAAATTAAAATAGGTGTTCAAAAACAGCCTGGTATAACATAAATAAGAATTTGAAATGTGAATCATGCAAAGCTACTCTAGTCGAGCTCGTAAATTAAAATACGGAGGGGTTTGGTGTACCTGAATGCCATAATGTAGCGAGGAACAGGCTGGGTGGAGGGAAAGATTTGTGAACGGCTTGATGAACGGGGCTTGCCAGCCCTCGGTCACGCTCCACTCGACAGTCAGCATGTGGTCGGTGAAGACAGTCCCGAAGTCAACCACGTGTGGCTTGGTTTTTAGAGCAGGGGACAGCTGAACAACCAGGTCAACTGCCTGGTTAAAAACAGAGCAGAATTATTATTATTTCCTTTTTAAAATAAAGGGATGCATGAATCTGAATCCAAGCTGTGTTAACGTTTACGTTTGCGATCACATTTCACCAACTGATCCACCAATCAGGGAAAAGTTGTCAGGTTAGGGCTGTGTGCAGGCAGGAGTGGTGGTAAGGAGGACCCAAAGTGCAGACGCTCGGAGGCAAAGGTGTATTTTAAAACTCCGCTTTTATTGCTGGGAAAACGTAACAAAAATCCAAATAAACCTACATGAGCAGGCAGACAGCACACACAGCATAAATGAGGGTAGACCACAACACAGACACAGAGAAACACAGGGCTTAAATACACAGGGGGAGCAATCAGGGAACAGGAGGGAAACACAGCTGGGGCAAATCAGGCCTAACGAGACAAAGGAAGCACAACCAGACGCATATACATGAGACACGGACTTTCAAAGTAAAACATGCATGCAGGCACTGCAACAGAGGGAACAGAGACATGGGACCAGGGCAGACAGACACTGACTGGACACGGGGATATAGCAACTAAGGATACACAGAGACCTTGACAAGGGGATACAGCTGACAGGGGAGACAGAGCAACTAGAGAAGACAGAGACATAAACCATAAGACAGAACTCAAAGAAACCAAAGACTAGAAATGATAAATAATATAATAAACTCAAAAACCCTGGGTCAGCGACCCAGGCATCCTAACAAAAGCACTCCCTGCAAAGTCTCATGAGCGCACTTTCTGATCATAAGCATCTAATCTGCATGCTGTGGCTTTCTTTGCAATCCTCACCTCTCCTCAGGGACAAATGCAGCACATTAAATCATGTTATATAGAAAATAAAGTACTCCTTGTGTCATGCTTCATTACTGATACAAAACAACAGGACGATGCCGTATCCAGCACACGGCTGCACCATTTTTGCACTGTTCATTTTGAAGTTGACCTTTGTGACCCTGCCCACAACAACTGGTGCTCCTACCTAAATGCTGCCTCTCATTTGGCTATTAAAGTATTTTCAGTGGCTTTGAAGCATTTATGTCACGACGCTGGAATGCAGGTGCCGTCATCGGTGCACCGCGTCTGGAATAGCCCGATTTTGGTAGCAGACATTGATTGTCTCTGAGACCCACTGTGTTCATAAACAGGCCGTGGCTATGCTATGCTGCCATGCTAGACCATATTACCCCATCCATGTTTGGCCACCAGGGGTTGTTGTAACACCAACATTGATACAAGGTAATTCAAGAACTGGACAGTTAACCTCCAGTGATGTGGCTTTAAAATTAAATCAGTGGGACTGGAACACACAAATGAGAACTGCATTCAAAAGCAAAGCAATATTTATCCCCCTAGAAGCTCTCTGTCTCAACTAGACCACCCAGAGGTCAAAGATCAGCGGGTTAAGTATGAAACAGAACAGCATCAAATTAACTCTGACGCCTTGAATATGAGTCATCCAGTCTCTGAGTCCGTGATGTCACTGAGCTACCTCTGTGTTGCTGCAGTGACAGCAGGTTGAGAGAGATGTGAAAGATTTATCAAGAACTATGTGAAAAAAAGGAACAGTTGGGAGTGCTGTCCTTTCCTGCTGTTCAGCAAGACGGAATAATGTGATCCTTCTTTTCAAGAGACACTTCCTGCTGGCCAGCAGTCAGTTGTGTGTTAGAATTGGCCAGGATTAGATCGGCACTTTATCCACTCCCTTCTGATGCAGACGGTTACTTGCGCCATAATCCCAGATTACAGTTCGGGTGGCTAGTGGTGAGTGACCGCGGTACGAGCACTGCGTGAAATTTATTAGAGGAGTGCAGTTATTCTGTCACTGTTTTTCAATCATTCTGAACATAAATACACAAATGTGATGCACGTCTTCTCTGCAGACAAACCAAAGTATTATCTACTATGTCGCACACCTTCACAGAACAGCACCGGTAGTTTTAGAATGTGACGGCGTGCGCCGTCCTCAGAATGAGCCATAATCCTTCTTCGCTGCTATCTGCATCCAGCCAGTGTTTGGCTGGGATTAAATGGCTATAAATATGAGTGTAGCTGAGTGTCTACAATGTGCAAGAAGAAGAAAGAAGGCAGCACAGGGCGTCTGACCTGGGTACTCCTACTACAAGGCAAATCGAGTCCCTTCATGTGAGGTGCCTTTCAAATATCTGACCTGTCAGAAAATAAGAGGTTTCAGGATAGAACCGATGGAGACGCTCAGGTACCAAACATACAGGTCAAACTGCAACACATAACTCCAACTTTACATTTCTGTCAATGGAAGTGAAAGTTGGCAGACATCTCCAAGCCCGGGCCAGTGTGCGTCTGCACATGTCCACCCTAATCTCTACCTGAGCCTGCTATCTACTGCTCAGGTGGTCAGGGTCAGAAAACAAGCAAAGCCCCAGCTACTTAGCGTGAGCTGGGAAAGTGGATTCTGCTGAGCAGGCTGCACTTGTGACAAGAACCAGAATGCACTACATAT